CTCTAGCCGCCCCTGCTGCACTGCTAGCCGCCCCTTGCAGCTCTCTCACCGCCCCTAGGCCAGCCCGCCACCCCTAGGCCCTCGAGCCACCCCTCTTGCAGCCTGCGCACCGCCTCTTGCAGCCTGCTTGACGCCCCTTGCTGCAGCCTGCCCTGTTTCCTGCGCTGCCCGGCCTCTGCCCGCCCTGCGTGCTGTGCCGCTATGGCTTCTCTCCGTGTGTTCGCGCTCGATCATGAGGGCCGCCCTATCCAGTTTGACACGTGGCTTGACGACCTGCAGCTGTACCTACTAAGCGACTCTAGGGACAGCGTTTCGTTGTTTGACCACACGTCTGGCGCCGCTCCCGCCCCTCCCGCCACAGCTGACAGTGCGACTCGCTCACAGTGGCTTACTCGTGACGCTGCTGCTTGCTTAGCCATTCGCAACCACCTGCCGTTAGCCGAATGCGCTCACTTCGGACAGCACAGGATAGCACAGGCACTGTACGACGCTGTAGTCGCCCGTTACTCCTCGCCTGCCACTTCTGCTCTAGGCCGTCTTCTACTGCCCTACCTATTTCCCGAGCTGTCCGCCTTTGCCACAGTAGACGACCTGGTTTGCCACCTTCGCACTAGCGACGCTCGCTACCGCGCTACTGCCCCAGCTGAGTTCCTTGACAAGAACCAGCCCTCGATGTTCATCACTCTCTACTTAATAGTCATCCGCCTCCCTGACTCTCTTCGCTCTGTCAGGGACCACTTTCTCTCACTTGACACCACAGTCCTCACTGTTGACCTACTCGAGCAGCACCTCCTTGAAGGTGAGACTAGTATAGTCGCTGTAGGTGCTTCTCGTGGCACTCCGCGCACGCCCTTCTTTGAGGGGTGCTCCCCCTCCCCCCTTGCCCCCTCCTACGCCTCTGTTGCTGCTGTTGACGTCCTTGGTCGAGAGGACGTCGGGGCTGCTTCTGCTAGTGCGAAGCACCGCACCAGCAAGGGCAAGGGTGGCAGGGGTGGTGGCGGTGGCAGCGGGGGTGGTGGTGGGGGCAGCAGTGGAGGTGGTGGAGGCAGTGGAGGTGGTGGCGGCACTGGGAGTGGTGGCAGGAGTGGGGGCTTTGGTGGAGTCGGTGGTGGGTGGGGGTAGTGGCGGCAGTGGGAGTGGTGGCGGTCAGGCTGGAGCTACTCTGCGTATCGGTTCGGGAGGTGGCCAGAGGCAGCAGCAGTAGCGTCGGAGTGAGACCCCGTCGCCCCAGCAGCTTCGTGAGTGGTTGTTTCAGCGTGGGGCGTCTGGGGGTAGTGGTAGCTGCGTGTATGTCATTCGCACGGGTGACCGTGATGGTCAGACATGCGGGAAGCCTCACCCTCTCTGTTGTCTCTCTCTTCTCTCACTGCCATTGCTCCCATTTATCTACCTCGTCAACATCAAATCTCATGTGCTGAATGCCTGCCTGTGCCGCTCTGCCTGCCTCTCTGCCTGCCATTGCACCGTCTGCTGCTCTGCTTGCCTCAGGGCATTCGTTGGTCTCTTTGCCAACTCCACCTATCTGTTTCTCTTTTCTTTTCCTTTTCCTGTTTTGCTGCCTCTGTTGCTCTGATTATCTCTGCAGTTCTTCTATCAGAACCATTTGCTCAATGGAGCTTACAACCTCACAGTGCTATCTTTGACATAGACTATGATGCTATCCTTGCTGCTATGAATGCTTTGTCTGTTTGTGCTGAGGGTGACTCTTACCTGTGTGTGCCGCCTGATCCAGGTATACAGGCTTCTTCTCTAGGTGCTAGTGAGTCTGGTACTCTCCCTGGTACTGAGCCTGCTGAGGCCTTCCACACCTTTACGCTTGAATCAGGTGCCTCACGCTGTCTCTTTCGCGACAGCACCACCCTCACTCCTCTCTCTGCACCTGTACCGGTCAGGCTGGCTGACCCCTCTGGGGGCCGAGTCCTTGCTCGTTCCTCCACTATTCTCTCGTGTCCGGCGGTTCCGTCCGGCTCACTGTCGGGCCTTCACCTCCCCTCGTTCTCTACAAACTTGGTGAGTACCGCTGCCCTCCAGGACGCAATGGTCACTACCACCACTCCTGGGGGTCAGCGTGCGTCGATCTGAACATGCACACGGACGGGCCGCCACCTGGCCACGTTCACTCGTCAGCCTGGGTCAAGTCTGTACACACTGGCTACCGAGCCTCCTCAGGTAGCTGCGTCTGCCAAGGTGTCCGCGTCAGGTCAGGTAGCACCCCCTTGCTCGTGTCTCCTCTGGCACCACCGCCTGGGTTACCCCTCCCTGCCACGCCTTCGTGCCATGCACTCCCGCCTCCTTGTCTCTAGTCATCCTCCCGCCCGCTGGTCTCTTCCTCCCCTCCTGCTCTCGCCTGCCCCACCCTGCCTTCCTTTCGTCGAGGGGCGGCAGCGCGCCGCTCCTCACTCCTCGTTTCCCTCCACGAATGCTCCACTGCAGACTCTCCACATGGACGTGAGGGGCCCAGCCCACGTCAGTGGACAGGGCCACGAGCACTACTTTCTGCTGGTTGTTGTCGACTACACGCGTTACACCACAGTCTTCCCCTTACGCAGCAAGGGTGAGGTCCCTGATGTCTTGATCCCTTGGATCCGTGCAGTCCGTCTCCAGCTCCGCGAGCAGTTCCACCAGGACCTTCCTGTCCTGCGTCTGCACTCTGACAGAGGTGATGAGTTCTCCTCCGACCTCTCGCGGGACTTTTGTCGTGGGGAAGGCATTCTCCAGTCGTTCACGCTTCCGGCCTCACCGCAGCAAAATGGGATTGCTGAGCGTCGCATTTGCTTAGTCATGGAGGTCGCTCGTACCTCCATGATCCATGCGGCTGCCCCCCATTTTCTGTGGCCGTTTGTGGTCCGGTACGCTGCGCATCAGCTCAACCTCTGGCCCCGTGTCTCCTTGCCGAAGACCTCGCCCACACTGCGTTGGACGGGGAAGGTTGGCGATGCGTCGGTGTTCCGGGTCTGGGGTTCTCGTGCCTTTGTCCGCGATACGTCTGCGGACAAGCTCTCTGCCCGCGCTATTCCCTGCGTCTTCCTTGGCTTTCCCCCTGACATGCCTGGCTGGCAGTTTTACCACCCCACCTCGTGTCGTGTGTTCCCCTCTCAGGACGTCACGTTTGACGAGTTGGTTCCCTTTTACCATCTCTTCCCCTACCGCTCTACCCCTCCCCCACCCCCGCCGCTCTTCCTTGCTCCAGGTCCCCCTCCGGTAGACCCCCTCACCCCCCAGGGTCTTGCTCCCTCAGGTGTTTTTCAGGTAGACCCTCTCCCTGGTACTGTGCCTGTTGAGGTAGCTGTCGGCTCAGGTGCTGCGTCTGGGGGTGCGGAGCCTTGGGGTGCTGAGTCTTAGGGTGCCGGGTCTGGGGTTTCTGAGCCTGGGGGTGCGGAGCCTGCGGGTGCTGAGCCTGCGGGTGTGGAGCCTGGGGGTACTGCGCCTAAGGGTGTGGAGCCTAGGGGTGCTGATTCTGAGGGTGCGGAGTCTGGGGGTGCTGAGCCTCGAGGTACTGCTTCTTCTGGAGGTCCTGCGGGTGCTTCGCCACGACTGTCTCCCCGGCCGGAGCCTCTCTCCCCGCAGCAGCTGCGCGAGTGGTTTGCTCAGCGCACCCGCCTTCGGAGTGGAGCTGCTGGAGCTGGAGACCCTGCCGCTGGAGACACTGGAGCTGGAGGTGCTGGAGTTACTACTGGAGCTGGTGGTACCGGAGGTGCTGCAGCTGCTGGTCCTAGATGTGCTCGTACCAAGGGTAATGGAGCTGCCGAGAGTGGTAGTGTTGGAGGCGCTGGGGCTGGAGGAGCTGCAGCTGGAGACCCTGTGGAGCCTGGAGGCACTGGAGCTGGAGGCACTGGCGCTGGTGGCACTGGAGCTGGAGACTCTGGAGCTGTTGGCGCTGGAGCTGGAGGCACTGGCGCTGGCGCTGGAGGAGCTTGAGCTGGGGGTGCTGTGTCTGGCAGTCCTGGTGCTGGAGGCACTGTGCGGCCACGACCGTACTTCGTTCCCCTACTTCAGCAGGTTCTTGGTCTCCTGCCTTCTGCTGGCCTTACTCCTCCCTGGTTGTGTCCACCGCCTGACCTGTCACAGCCGCCATTACAGCCAGCCTCCCCACTGCCTGCTCCCTCTCCTTACACTGAGCAGACTGGAGGTCTTACAGAGCGTCGTGAGCCTGAGTCTCATCCTGCCTAGACTGTTCGCGCTGTTCGCTCTGGTTGTAGGGTTCCTCGTCCGCGTCCTCCTCCTGTCCCCGGCACCCACGCTATGGCACTTCGTCCTTCCTCTGTTCCACTGCGCGTTCCTCTGCCGCTTCCTCCTAAGTCCTCTCTTCCTGACATCCCTTTCCCTGAGTCTAACCTTGTGCGTGCTGCCAGTCCCACTGTCTCTCGTCTCCTCGCCACTGTTATTAATATCCCTTCTGTTGAGTCCACTGCTGTGTCTGCCCTCGTTGCTGAGCTGGTTGACTTTGCTGCTGCCTGTCGTCTAGACTACGCCACTGCTCTTGTTGTTGAGTATGAGTCTGCCAGTCCTCCGTCTGTCGGGGGTGAGTGTGCTCTTGGCACGGACGTCCTTGAGGACAGGCAGGAGGACTTTGAGTGTCTTGTCGCGATATATATTTATATATGTTTATAACTGCCTGTAGCTTTAGCTTTAGTGTAGTTATGTTTCTTTGTTGTGGTGGTGCACCTCTTTGTTTCTTTGCTATATGTTCTTGCAAACCTATAGTGAAGACACACATTCTCGATTCTCTCTTGGCACAACTCCCTCGACACCCGCTTGGCCTAGGCTACTAAGCCTAGGCCCTTAGTTAAACCCGTTCCTAGCTAAGTTCGTCTCATGACATGGTAACAGAGTGGTCCGTCCTAGGACCTATTTCGTTTATGGGCCCACCACATTTCGCGACTGCTACAGTTAGTGGCGCGAAATCCGCACCTTGCGTATCTTTTTTTTTTCCCTGCTGCTCGCGCTGCCCCCCGTCTCCTGCCTCGTCGCGGCTCTCAGCGCGACGGGCGCGGCGGACGCTATGGCGAACGCCAGCGGACCCGCCGCCAGCGACCCGCCAGCGAAGTCGCCAGCGAAGTCGCCAGCGGCCCGCGATCGCGTTTGCGCCATCGACTGCAGCCAGCGCCACCTTGCACCTCGCCCGTCGCACCGGCGGTCGCTGTGGGGGGGAGAGGGAAGAAGGGATGGGAGTGGCGGCGGAACTCTGTGGGGGCGAGAGGGAAGAGGGGATAGGAGTGACGGGGGAACGCCAGCGACGATCGCCAGAGCACTGGCGATCGCCCCAGCCGCTCATTCGCCCGCTCTGCCCGTCGCATTCCCCCCGCCCCCTGCCCGTCACCCCCCCCCCCCCCCCCGTCGCGACTGTTTGCGTGTGCAGCGGCGGTCGCCATGGGGAGGAGAGGGAGGAGGGGAAGGGAGTGGCGGTGGGACGCTGTGGAAAGGAGAGAGAGGAGGGGAAGGGAGTGGTGGCGGAACAGCACCAGCGCCAGCCGCCAGCACCAGGAACCAGCACCAGCGCCAGCCGCCAGCACCAGGAACCAGCCCCAGCGCCAGCCGCCAGCACCAGGAACCAGCCCCAGCGCCAGCCGCCAGCACCAGGAACCAGCCCCAGCGCCAGCCGCCAGCACCAGGAACCAGCCCCAGCGCCAGCCGCCAGCACCAGGAACCAGCCCCAGCGCCAGCCGCCAGCACCAGGAACCAGCCCCAGCGCCAGCCGCCAGCACCAGGAACCAGCCCCAGCGCCAGTCGCCAGCACCAGGAACCAGCCCCAGCGCCGGCCGCCAGCACCAGGAACCAGCCCCAGTGCCAGCCGTCAGCACCAGGAACCAGCACCAGCGCCAGCCGCCAGCACCAGGAACCAGCCCCAGCGCCAGCCGCCAGCATCAGGAACCAGCCCCAGTGCCAGCTGCCAGCACCAGGAACCAGCACCAGCGCCAGCCGCCAGCACCAGCACCAGCAACCCCACCTGTGACCAGCAGCCCCACCTGTGACCAGCAGCCCCACCTGTGACCAGCAGCCCCACCTATGACCAGCAGCCCCACCTGTGACCAGCAGCCCCACCTGTGACCAGCAGCCCCACCTGTGACCAGCAGCCCCACCTGTGACCAGCAGCCCTACCTGTGACCAGCAGCCCCACCTGTGACCAGCAGCCCCACCTGTGACCAGCAGCCCCACCTGTGACCAGCAGCCCCACCTGTGACCAGCAGCCCCACCTGTGACCAGCAGCCCCACCTGTGCCCAGCAGCCCACCTGTGAAAGACTGTACAGGGACCATCGTGGGTTGGGAGAGGTATGGAGGAAGACAGGGGTGGAGGGAGTGCGGTTCCAGGGGGCGACTGAAATGGGGGGTGAGGTTGAGGGCGGGTGGTTGGTTGGGGGTGGGGATGTGGGGGTTAGTAAGAGGGGACGCTGCGGCCACCCCCCCACCTCTTCTCCTCATCCCCCACTCAACCCCCCCTTTCGTAAAAGGGGGTTAGTAAGAGGGGACGCTGCGGCCACCCCCCACCTCCTCTCCTCATCCCCCACTCACCTCCTCCTGTGTTCTTATCTATTCTCCTCTCCTCTCTTCCTCTTGCCTCCTCCTCCTCACGTACCCCTCTGCCGTCTCCCACCGCACCTGCCCCTTCAGGGGGTGTGACTTGCTCTAGCTATGTGCTGCAGGCAGTTAAGGGGGTGTGTCGCGATATATATTTATATATGTTTATAACTGCCTGTAGCTTTAGCTTTAGTGTAGTTATGTTTCTTTGTTGTGGTGGTGCACCTCTTTGTTTCTTTGCTATATGTTCTTGCAAACCTATAGTGAAGACACACATTCTCGATTCTCTCTTGGCACAACTCCCTCGACACCCGCTTGGCCTAGGCTACTAAGCCTAGGCCCTTAGTTAAACCCGTTCCTAGCTAAGTTCGTCTCATGACATGTCTTGCAGCTGCTTTACCTCGTTTCGCTTCCATGCTGCTTGCCCCTGAGGGAGACCCGGATGCACCAGACATCCCAACCTCGCGCTCTTACGCAGAGGCGATTACGGGTCCCTACTCCTCTCAGGGGGAGGCAGCCATGGATGCCGAGATGGCATCCTAGAAGTCCACAGGCACCTACGTTGACGCAGTTCCCCCGTCTCGGGCGAACATAGTCGATGGCATGTGGATTTTCAGGGTGAAGCGGCCGCCGGGTTCTCCACCTGCCTTCAAGGCGCGTTACGTTGCTAGAGGCTTCAGTCAGCGACAGGGGGTCGACTACTTCCAGACCTTCTCCCCCACCCGGAAGATGACTACTTTTCGCGGGTTGCTGCGTGTCCGTGCGGGCCAGACATGCGGGAGGTTTCACACTAAGCACCGCTCTTTTGCCCGCCTTGACGACGCACGACGTGCTGAGTTTGGTCACGACGTCGAGCTCCCTAACTGGGCGCAGTTGCTTCAGTCAGGAGTTGCTATCTTTGACCTAGACTATGATGCTATTATCTCTGCCATGTATGCTTTGTCTTTAAGTGCTGAGGGTGACTGTTACCGGTGTGTGCCACCTGACCCAGGTATAGCGGCTGCTGCTCTAGGTGCTAGTGAGTCTGGTACTCCCCCTGGTACTGCGCCTGCTGAGGCCTTGCACAGCTTCACGTTGGACTCCGGCGCCTCCCGCGGTTTCTTTCGTGACAGCACCACTCTCACTCCTCTCCTTGCACCTGTCCCGGTCAGACTGGCTGACCCCTCTAGGGGCCCGGTTGTTGCCCGTTCCTCCACTATCCTCCCGTGTCCGGCGGTTCCGTCCGGCTCACTGTCAGGTCTTCACCTCCCCTCGTTCTCTACAAACTTGGTGAGTACCGCTGCCCTCCAGGATGCGATGGTCACTACCATCACTCCTGGGGGTCAGCGTGTGTCGATCTGCACGTGCACATGGACGGGGCGTCACTTGGCTACGTTCACTGATCGGCCAGGGTCGAGTCTGTACACACTGGCTACCGAGCCTCCTCAAGTCGCTGCGTCTGCTCAGGTGTCCACGTCAGGTCAGGTAGCCGCCTCTTGCTCGTGTCGCCTCCTGTCTCACCAGACTCTTCTGTGGCACCACCATCTGGGTCATCCCTCCCTGCCACGCCTTCAAGGCATGTACTCCCGTCTCCTTGTCTCTGATCTCCCCAGGTCTCTGCCTCCCTTACCGCCCTCGCCTGCCCCGCTCTGTCTTCCTTGCGTCGAGGGGCGGCAGCGTGCCGCTCCTCACTCCTCCTCATTTCCCCCGACGACAACTCCCCTACAGACCCTCCACATGGACGTGTGGGGCCCAGCCCGCGTCAGTGGACAGGGCCGCGAGCGCTACTTTCTGCTAGTAGTTGACGACTATACGCGGTACACCACGGTCTTCCCCTTGCGCAGCAAGGGTGAGGTCTCTGATGTCTTGATCCCTTGGATCCGCACAGTCTGTCTCCAGCTACGCGAGTGGTTCGGTCAGGACCTCCCTGTCCTGCGTCTGCACTCTGACAGAGGTGGTGAGTTCTCCTCCGACCTCCTGTGGGACTTTTGTCGTGGGGAGGGCATCACCCAGTCGTTCACGCTTCCAGACTCCCCTCAGAAAAATGGGATTGCTGAGCGCCGCATTGGCTTAGTCATGGAGGTCGCTCGTACCTCCATGATCCATGCGGCCGCTCCCCATTTTCTGTGGCCGTTTGCGGTCCGGTACGCTGCGCATCAGCTCAACCTCTGGCCCCGTGTCTCCTTGCCGGAGACCTCGCCCACACTGCGCTGGACGGGGAAGGTTGACGATGCGTCGGTGTTCCGGGTCTGGGGTTCTCGTGCCTTTGTTCGCGATACGTCCGCGGACAAGCTCTCCGCCCGCGCTATTCCCTGCGTCTTCCTTGGCTTTGTCCCTGACGCGCCTGGCTGGCAGTTTTACCACCCCAACTCGCCCCGTGTCCTCCCGTCTCAGGACGTCACGTTCGACGAGTCGGTTCCCCGCCGCTCTTCCTTGCTCCCGGTCCACCTCAGGTGGACCCCCTCCCGCCCCAGGGTCCTGCTCCCTCGGATGTGTCTCAGGTAGACCCTCTCCCTAGTACTGCGCCTGTTCAGGTCGCTGTCGTCTCAGGTGCTGCTCTAGGTGCTGCGTCAGGGGGTGCTGCGTCTGGGGGTGCGGAGCCGGGGGGTGTGGGGTCTGAGGGTGCTGGGTCTGGGGGTGCTGAGCCTGAGGGTGTTGAGCCTGGGGGTGCTGAGTCGGAGGGTGCGGAGTCTGGGGGTGCTGAGCCTCGGGGTGCTTCTTCATCTGGAGGTCCTGCTGGTACTTCGCCGCGACTATCCTCACAGCAGCTGCGTGAGTAACTTGTTCCGCGCGCGCACCGTCGGAGTGAAGCTCCCAGAGCTGGAGGGGCTGGAGACACTGGAGCTGGTGGTACTGCTGTTCCTCCTGGAGCTGGTGGTACTGGAGGTACTGCGGCTACTGGTCCTGGCTGTGCTCGTACCAGTGGTGCTAGAGCTGCCGGGTCTTGTGGTTTTGGGTGCGCTGGAGCTGGAGACCCTACGGAGCCTGGAGCAGCTGGCGCTGGAGACGCTGGAGCTGGAGTAGCTGGAGTTGGGGGCTCTGGCGCAGGAGGTGCTGGGGCTGCAGGAGCTGGGGTTGGAGACACTGGCGGCGGAGGCGCTGGGGCGGCAGGAGCTGGAGCTGCTGTTCCTAGAGCTATGGGTGTTGGAGACACTGTGCCGCCGCGACCGTACTTCGTTCCGCTGCTTCAGCAGGCTCTTGGTGTCCCGTCTTCTACTGGTCTTCCACCTCCCTTCCTGTGTCCACCGCCTGACCAGTCGCAACCGTCGATACAGCCAGCCTCCCCACAGCCTGCTCCCTCTCCTTACACTGAGCAGTCTGCGTCTCGTCCTGTCTCACCTGTTCGCACTACTCGTCGCGCTCCTCGTTCGCGTCCTCCTCCTGTCCCCAGCACGCCACTATGGCACTCCGTCCTTCCTCTATTCCACTGCGTGTTCCTCTGCCTGCTCCTCCTGAGTCCTCTCTTCCTGAGGTCCCTGACCCTGCGTCTGACCGAGCACGTTCTGCCAGTCCCACTGTCGCTCGTCTCCTTGCCACTGCTGTCACTGACCCTTCCTTTGAGTCTGCTGCTGCGTCCGCTCTCGTTGCTGAGCTGCTTGACTTTGCTGCTGCCTGCCGTCTCGACTACGCCACTGCTCTTGTTGCTGAGTCTAAGTCTGCCCGTCCTCCGTCCGTCGGGGGTGAGTGTGCTCTTGGCACGGATGTCCTTGAGGATAGGCAGGAGGACTTTGAGTCTCTTGCAGCTGCTGTACCTCGTTTCGCTTCCATGCTACTTGCCCCTGAGGGAGACCCGGATGCTCTAGACATCCCGACCCCGCGCTCTTACGCAGAGGCGATTGCGGAACCTTACTCCTCTCAGTGGCAGGCAGCTATGGATGCCGAGATGGCATCCTGGAAGTCCACAGGCACCCGTCGACGCAGTTCCCCCGTCTAGGGCGAACATAGTCGATGGCATGTGGATTTTGAGGGTGAAGCGGCCGCCGGGTTCTCCGCCTGCCTTCAAGGCGCGTTACGTCGCTCGAGGCTTTAGCCAGCGACAAGGAGTTGACTACTTCCAGACCTTCTCCCCCACCCCGAAGATGACTACTCTTCGGGTGTAGCTGCACGTCGCTGCTCAGCGTGACTACGAGTTGCACTCCCTGGATTTCAGCACAGCCTTCCTGCAGGGCAGCTTGCACGAGGAGATCTGGCTGCGCCGACCACCTGGTTTCACAGGGACGTTTCCTGCAGGTACTCAGTGGAGCCTCCGCCGGCCAGTCTATGGTCTCCGCCAGGCGCCTCGCGAGTGGCACGACACACTTAGGACTACACTTGCGGCTCTTGGGTTTGGTCCTTCTACTGCAGACCCGTCGCTGTTTCTACGCACCGACACCTCGCTGTCGCCGTTCTACGTCCTAGTGTACGTCGACGACCTCGTCTTTGCCACGGCTAACACTCAGGCACTGACCGTTGTGAAGTCCATGCTGCAAAAGAGACACACCTGCACTGACCTGGGTGAACTGCGCAGCTATCTTGGCCTGCAGATCACCCGGGACAGAGCACGGCGCACCATCACACTAACTCATTCACTTATGGTGCACCAGGTCCTTCAGCGCTTCGGCTTCACGTACTCCTCGCCACAGCTCACTCCTCTGTCTACCAGCCACTCGCTCTCAGCTCCACCTTCGGACGAGTCCGTAGAGCCGAGTGGTCCGTACCCAGAGCTTATGGGTTGCCTCATGTACCTGATGACTTGCACCCGACCTGACCTCGCGTACCCT